AAAAATAGCAAAAACAAAGACTAGAGAAAGCACTCTCTCTCTCTCTCTCTCTCTCTCTCTCTCTCTCTCTCTCTCTCTTTCTCTCTCTCTCTCTCTCAAACAGGGATTGAACCAACTCAACTACATTTTGCGACAGAATCTGGCTGAATTGCCCAGGCTGTCCCCAGCCTCTTGATCCTCCTGCTGCAGCCTCCCAAGTCGCTGGCATTACAGGTGGGCTGGAGCAGCCCAGTGGCCCTTCTGCCTCTTTCAGCTATTTCACTGCCTTCTTCTCAACACCCTTCCTTGGAGCGCTCTCCACCCTTCCCATTTTGGAGACCTTTCACCCCAGAACCTGGACAAAGAAGGACTTGAAGAGCTTTGCCAAGTTCACAGCCCAGACTGCCGTGGGCAGCATAATTAGCACTGAATTAGGCCTTCCCCATTGAGTCCTTATGGAACAAGATTAAAGATTTTGGAGAAATGAGGATTATCTTTATCCAGAGTTAATGAACAAGGAAGCAAGTATCTAAATCTCTTGCCAGAGTCACTTGGAGGCAGGTTAGCAGCCCTGCCCAGCCCTCTGCTACCTGTTCCTCTTCCCTAGAGACAGGCAGCATCAGCCAGCCAGGCTTGGCTCCAGAGAGCAGGCAGCGGGCAGCTCCCCCACTCTGCGTCTATGCTCCTGTCAAGCTGCGCTCACGGCCCGTGGTATCGGGGTTGCTCCAGGTGTCCCCAGGGCCTGGCCAATGATTTGTCATTGGTCCTGTAGGTTCAACCCTTTGGGCCCCTCAGATTAGTCACTGGGAGCTAAGGACAATGGCACTTGGATCAGAACCGAGGTCTTCACGGCAAACCTGCCTCCAGGGGAGGATGTTTTCAAGGCTGTGGCTGCTGGCTTAGTTCACCTCTGGGCTCCCTGCCACCTCTCAGCCTTCAAGTCACCAGTGCAGGAGGCAGGTGGCACAGAACTGCCCTTACAGACTTGAGGTTGTCCCAGCTGGACCCTGCAGCAATGCCTGAAGACAGCCAGAGCACCTCCTTGCCATCCTTCCACTGCAAAGACGCTGGGGCCCTGCACAGAGGGACCTGTGGTGTGGGGCTGACTCAGCTGGCCTGAGCCCTCCTGGCTCCAGCTCCAAATCCAAGCATCTGTGGCCAAGCATGGAATCTCATTTGTAAAATGACGTTGTCACAGGCCCTGTGTCTCCAAAGTAAAGCGTAGAACAGGAGACTAGAGCACCAGGAAACAGGAGCTATAGCTGGGCTTCGTGGGGCACCTGCTCTCCCCACCTGGGGTCTGCTGCCCATCCTCTGCATTGGCTCAGAAGCTGCTGGGGACCCTGAACTTCTGGCTTTGGGTAGCTTCTTCAGGCAGTAGGGGCAGTGGCAGGAGGAACTGCTTGAACCAGGCAGTGTCCCTGTCCCAACCCTTGGCCCCCTCGGGAGAAGCGCTGCTTCTAGCCACTCCTGTGTCATTCAGTGCCAGTGCTGCCCCAGGGAGGAGGACAGGGAGGGGAAAGGAACCCAGAGAGGGGCCCCCTCCCACCCTGGCAGCAGGCCCTCCACCCACCCGGGGAAGCAGGCTGCCCTTTCCCCTTGCCAGTGCCTGCTAGCTGCATTCCTACCATAGCGGGGAAGGAGAGGGAAATAGAGTTGTGGGAGGGTCCAGGATGCTTGGGCCAAACACTCCCCAACTCGCTGGAGCTCAGCCTGTTGCTCAGGTCTGAGTCACCAAAAGATGCCACCCCCACCCCAAAAAGCTGCCAACCACAGAGCAGTTCCTGGGCACATCCTCACCATCACTGATGCAGTCCTACTCTAGCTGGGTGACCCTGAGTGTCACACTTGCCCTCTCTGAATGCCAGCTTCTGCAGCTGTGAAAGGAGAATTTGTCAGGGTGAAGGTGGCTGTGGGCTACGCAGGGAGTGGCTGAAGTCACATCCAAAGGTCACCCAACAAACTCCTGTGTCAGGGCAACTTCCCTACCACACCTGGAGACTGCACTCCCCAGCTCAGCTCCAGCCCCCACCCCCTGTAGGTCCACCAAGGTAAGGAGTGAGATTCAGGCTGGAGTCCCTGCTTGACATCTCTTCCTGAAGCTCAACTGAATTAAACTAATGAATCCTGTGCTGCTGACTGCCTGCTCTGCAGAAAGAGGCCAAAAGGGACCCACAGCTGAGAATTTGCCCAAGACCCCTGCTAGGTGGAATGAGAGGCCCCCGGCCACGCCTCTGTGCTGTCCATAGAAATGTTTGCTGCCCAAGGTAGCTAAGACCAAACAAAGTGCACAAAGGAAGTGCAGGCACAGGATCTCATTTGTGGGCTGCAAAAGTACAACACATAAAATATATAAAAGGGCCTGGCGAGGTGGCACACACCTGTGATCCCAGTACCTGGGAGGCTGAGGCAGGAGGGTGGCTGTGAGTTCAAGACCAGCCTGGGCTACAGAGTGAATTCAAGGCCAGCCTCAACCATATAGTGAAACCCTGTCTCAAACCAAGAAAAAAGGACAAATGGTGATAAGAATGCATATTATTATCTTTGATATAACAAGTAGGGAAGGGGTTAAAAAAGACACCGCAGCTGGAATATAGGTCGATGCCATAAGCACCCAAAAACCAATACAGGATATAATATAGAATATTTTTAATGTAGAGCATTTTTAAGCAATGCAAACAAGACAAGAAAGGAAGGACAGAAGACAGGAAACTGCAAGAAGTTAGACCAGGGAGACAGCTCAGTGGGATTAGTGCTTCCCTGGCAAGCACAAGAGCCTGAGTTCAATCCCCAGTTCTGCAAAAAAAAAAAAAAGAAGAAGAAGTTAGACCAATTTCAACATTAATGTAAATAGCCTAAACACTCCACTTAAAAGGTAGTGACTGATTAGAGGAAAAAAAATCAAGACCCATAAGGGCCACAAACATATGTTAATTTTAAAAAGCAGAACAAGTAAGCTGGAGGGATTATATTTTTATTTATTTATTTATTTATTTTTGTGGAACCGGGGATTGAACTCAGGCCCTTGCGCTTGTCAGGGAAGCGCTTACTGCACTGAGCCATCTCCCCGGCCCCAGTGATTATATTTTTAAAAAGAAAATCAAGACCGACTGTCTGCTGCCTGCTAGAGATGAGCCGCAGCTGCATGTGGTGATGCACAGCTCTAATCACAGCACTCGGGGGAGCAAGGCAGAAAGGTCACTGCAAGTTGGAGGCCAGCCTGAGCTGCAGAATAAGTTTAAGACCAACCTAAACTACATCGCGATACCCTGTCTCATCAAAAACAAGAGAGACTACCCTGTCAGGATGCACACGGCATGAAAGAATAGGAAAAGACTGCGCAAACATCAGCAGCTATGAACATCAGCGTGGACCTAAGAAGTGACAGTAGGCACATGTTGTTGCCTAGTTGGGCAATGGCAAGGAGTGAATGATTTCATCTGCCTGCAGTGCCCAGAGCCACCTAGGGCCCCTTACAAACGCCCTGTGAGTGTGGGGTTCCTGCAGCGCTGCAGCCAGGGTGGAGCTGCACTGTCCTGTGAACCTAGGCCAGCTCTGGAGGCGGGCTCTTGGGATCCGCGCCTCAAGATGCAGACCTGGAGTTGGTCCCCCGCTTTTCCCTGGCGGTAGCAACGGTAGAGTGTGTAGAGCTCGTGTCCGGAGACCCGGCGGCGCAGCACGTTGGAAAGAAGGGGAGAGAGTGCTTGAGGGATCCGTCTGCGCTGAGACCATGAGTTAGGTCAAGGGCACAGGGGTCCGGAAGCCACTGATGCTGATGCTGGGGTGAAACACTCCAGGCTCCCCTGGGTAATTTTCGAGCTTAACCAGAAAGTGACCCCTCTCCTGAAGGTCACCATGACCTCTTTGGGGACCACCCATTCCAGGTACAGGAATAGTACCTATGGCCTCACCTGTTTCCTCAGGACCCCACACCCCTGCCCCAAGCTGTGACAGTGGCACTGCTCCACTTCCATCAGGCCTGGGAGACCTGTAGGAGAGAGCCTGCAGGAGGAGGCAGCTCCTGGGACCCCTGGGGTGCACCCTCCAGCACGTGTGTCCTCCACCAACTGCAGCTCTTGCACCCCTGGCTTTCCTTCCCTGTGCTACCCCACTTCCGCCATCCCAGCTCCCTGTCCTGAAGCCTGTGCCATGCCTCAGCCTCACTCCATTTGGGGTGCTGGGTTGATCCCTCGAGAGAGGAAGGTACAGCCCAAGATTGTGTTCACCCAAACACAGACAAACATGAGAGTGAGGCTTTGAAGCATTCTCTGGCTCCAAGTTTGTTGTTCTTGATTTTTAAACCTTGTCAATGCACTGAGTCATTAGAAATCTTCAAGGGTTTCCCACGGCCCAAAGGTGCAGCTTCCAGCCGTTTCTGATCCGAGTCCCTATGAGTTAAGTAAACCTGCTGAGGACATCCTCTGCTCTGTGTCCATTTTGGTCAATCAAGCACAAGTGCAAACGCACTCCTATACTCTGTGCGTTGGGACACAGAGGTACAGTTCAAACATGAGGCACATATGTCACAGATAGAGGTAAGATCCTCCCTGTTTCCTCCCCACCTCTGGGGTGAGCTGGAGTGCCCTGGGTTCTGTGTGCAGCCTGCCTTGGGGACAGCTGGCCGGGAGGGTGCAGCCCCAGCCTGGACCTGGTACAAAGTGTTCACTGTCTAAAGCCTGGTGGATGCCTCCTGCCACCCACACAGCAATGACCACGTAGAAGCCAGACATGGTGGCACACTTCCGTAATCCCGGCACTTGGGAGGCTGAGACAGGAGGACCACTGCAAGGTCAGAGCCAGCCGGGGCTATGTAGTGAGTTCAAGGCTAGCCCAGAATACGTAGTAAGTCCATGTCTTTAACAAATAAATAGGGCCGGCCAAATAGCTCAGCAGATTAAAGCGCCTGCTTAGACAGACGCAGGGGACAGGAGTTTGAACCCCTGGCCTGCTATGCTGGCCCCACCCCCAGGGTACTCTGAGATGGCAACTGAGACTGGGCATGGTGGCGCACATGCGCGCCTGTAATCCCAGCACTTGGGAGGCTATAAACAGGACGATCGCTACAAGTCCGATCTATGCAATGAACCCTGTACGCCCTGTCCTAAATACAATAATAGTAATATAAAATAAATAACAGTTTTTGAAAATGCTACCAGATAGACTGAAATCACTCTCAACTACCTCTATGCTCTCTCCCTCTGTCCCTTCCCTTCTCTTTCCCCTTGCCAAGTCCTCCTTTATGTGACATGAACAGATCACAGATCACCACAAAGCCCTTCTCGCATCTCACACCTGCACGTCCATGCCAGTCATCCTGCCTTGGTCACCACTAAGCTGTCACTTTTTGCACAGCTCATCTTGCCGAGCGCTTAAGGCAGATACTGTTACTATTATTTTCATCTGATAGCCGGGGCAACGGGCTCAGAAAGGTCAAGTGATTTTCAAGGTCGCAGTAGGTGGCGGAGCCATGATGTGCAGCCTAGACTCAGGCCAGGGTCAGTGCTCAGAGCGCTAAGCCACATGAACCCAAGATGATCGCCTACATCCTGCTGATGCTTCTTCCAGCTTCTGCCACATGCACGCGGACACAACATGCATGCGGACACATTTAGGGACACACACGCACACATGCACGCACGCACGCACGCACGCACGCACGATGTTAAGCAAACTTAAATGAATGACTAAAAGGATGAATGTGGGGCCAGGGAGATAGCTCAGTAGAATAAGCACTTTCCTGGCAAGTGCAAGGGCCTGAGTTCAATCTCCGGTTCTAGGGGGCCGGGGAGATGGCTCATTGGATAAGCGCTTGACTGACAAACGCAAGGATCTGAGTTCAATCCCTGGTTCCACCAAAATCCCCAGTTCTATAAAAAAATAATAATAATAAAAAGAAAAAATAGAGGAGCCTTTTTACCAAGATGGCGCCGAAAGCAAAGAAGGAAGCCCCTGCCCCTCCCAAAGCTGAAGCCAAAGCAAAAGCTTTGAAGGCCAAAAAGGCCGTGCTGAAAGGCATCCACAGCCACAAAAAGACGATATGAACATCGCCCACCTTCCGCCGTCCCAAGACGCTGCGGCTCCAGAGGCAGCCCAAATACCCTCAGAAGAGCGCCCCCAGGAGAAACAAGCTTGACCACTATGCCATCATCAAGTTCCCCCTGACCACAGAGTCAGCCATGAAGAAGACTGAGGACAACAACACACTCGTGTTCATTGTGGATGTCAAAGCCAATAAGCACCAAATCAAACAAGCTGTAAAGAAGCTCTATGACATCGATGTTGCCAAGGTCAATACCCTAATCAGGCCTGATGGAGAGAAGAAGGCATATGTTCGACTGGCTCCTGATTATGATGCATTGGATGTTGCCCACAAAATTGGGATCATCTAAACTGAGTCCAGCTGGCTAATTCTAAATATATACTTTTTTCTCAGTAAAAATAAATAAATAAATAAATAAATAAATAAATAAATAAATAGAGGCCGGGGAGATGGCTCAGTGGAATAAGTGCTTCCCTGGCAAGCGCAAGGACCTGAGTTCAATCCCCGGTTCCGCAAAAAAAAAAAAAAGAAAAAAAGAAAAAAAAGAAAAGGATAAATGAATTACCAGGCCAACACTGAGAAGGCCCATCACTCCAAGGCGTCTACTTCCCCAGCACTGGCTGTGGCCTTCTTGGTGCCAGCTGAGCCCTCAGGCAGGCTGCAGGGAGGGAGACAGTCGCCTTATACAGACTGCGTGAGCTGGGGTGTACCACAGCCAGGAGCTGGGGAGGCACGAATATCAGGGGCCACCTTGTCCCCCGCAGGACCTGGTGGACTGGAAGAAGCCGCTGCTGTGGCAGGTGGGCCAGCTGGGGGAGAAGTACCACGAGTGGGTCCACCAGCCGGTGAGCAGACCCATCCGCCTCTTCCACTCCGACTTCATTGAGGGCCTGTCCAAGACAGTCTGGTGAGTCCTGCAGCAGCCTAGCCTGGGCTGTCCCCATCTCTTCATGGTGCCCAGCAGATCTAGAAGGGAACAGGACAAGGTCGTTCTCTCCCTCCCCCCACCCCGCCCGCCGGAAGTTCTTTAGGAGGGCAGAGCATGCCATAGGGTGATCCTTTATTGTGCATGACTTTGTCTATGAGAGGTTGACAACCCAAGGTATAGCCAGAAACTACTCTGAAGGCCACCCCACCTCCATGCCCGGGCCCTGTGGGCTTAACAGCCTCTAGTACTCAGGGAAACAATTTGCCTTCAATTAGCGGCTGGGCCACAAGAGGGCAGGGTCTACCTTGCTGCACTGAATGTCCCAGTGGTTCATCCCAGAGGTAGAGGCAGGACTGTCCTTCCTCTCTGAGCCCCCCACACAGGTGCCATTTTCACTCTGGGATGCTGCATACTTCTGCACCTGCTCTGGTGTCACTCCATCCCCTCCCTCGTTAAGTATGTGCCCCTGGAGAAGCTGGGCAGTGCTGAGCCCCTGCCCCTGCCCCTCTCTTCCTTGGTGGCTCCTGCAGGTACAGTGTCCCCATCATCTGGG